GAAGTCGGAGCCCACCCCCGAGTGGCATAACCTCCTCCTGGTTGCGCTGATAGAAATAAAAAGCAAAGGCACAGAGGTACCACAAATTCCCTTTGGAATGGCATTTCCACCCTGTGTGTGGAGAGCTGCTTCATACGTCCAGGGCAGCTCCTGAGTTGAAGTAGCTCTGCAGAACTCCACCAGCATCCATAGGCCTGTGCTGATTTACACCCTGGTTTTAGCATCTTACTATCTTCGGTATTTTAACATTCATTTGATCCACCATTTTGTTCTTTCTCCCCTTTTTCGTTTGTCTGGCCTCTGGTAGTGAGGATTTGTTTTTCTACTCGTGAAACTTCAGTTGTAATGTTGTCTGTGGTTTATGCCTCAACTTGAAAAGAAATGTGTTTACTTTCCTGGGATTTTAAGAACTGCTGGTTTTCAATCAGGGAATTCACTTAGTTTTTACATGTGAATTGAAAGACAATCCCCAGGGAACTGAGAGGTAGGTCTTTTTCTAGGAGCGAGATTTAAGTGGCACAAGGCAGGATTCAAAACCAACATGAAGGGCCAAACCCTGAAGACCTTAGTGTGTTTGTGCTCAGTCCTTGCTAAGGCAAAGACTTCTTTTGATTTTGATGGGGTAAAACTTGGGTTAATCCCAAGTGGTGGTCTTTTCATTGTTAACTTGGATGGATTTGTTCCAAAGGCGGCTTGGCCCAAGCATGCGTGAGGGCTGCCATCTGAGCTAGCAGGCTGGGAATTAAACTGGCAAACTCCAGAGCTAAAAAAACCCATGCTTGTACAGCACTAGAGACTATAACAATGCATTGCCTCTGCAGAGTGGCACAGTGGGGGAGGGGAAGGCTATGCCATAAGATCACCTGTTGATTATACCTGCACACTATGATTTATCTGGTTTAGCTTGTTGGTGCGGATGGCTCTTGCGCACAGTAGGTGGTGTACCAGGCTCAGCCTCGCCATCTGATTCCAAGTATTCACTGTGCCTGCTGGCACTAATTTCCTAAGCATCACTGCCTGGTTGTTTCGTTTCTCTCACTTGAAGTGCTAGGTATCCTGCCTCAATCTGGGATGCGAAGATTCAGCTGACTGGTGATAAACATGATGGATTAAGCCATCTTCTTGGCCTTGGAGGCCGTATTTTCTTTTTAATGTAAGGCAAGTCCTTGAAAGGACCGTTCTAATTGTATAGTGTGTGGCGTATGGATTTTATGAATTAAGCCCTCAAATAACTGTTCATGCGGCAAATACACAGAACCTTTGCTGGGAATGACCTGGGATACTATTTCCTAACTTATGGGTTAAAAAAAAGAAAAGAAAGAAAAAAGAAAAGAAAAGAAAAATAATTCGCCTCCTGCTAGCTGTGTTAGAAGGCTGCTATGGAGACAAAAGAACAGAGTGCTAGTGATAGCTTGAGTTGAAACACCCGCTTTTGGCTTGTGCCTGCAGATTCCAAGGCAAGGGGCATGCACTAGACTCTCCAGGATTCACGCATGCTATTCGGACCCATAAACAAATCCATTCTGCACCCACAGGATTGCCCAGAGAAATTGGGTGACACTGGGGGAGGCAGAGGAGAGCGAATGAAAATATTCAAGCTTTGAAAAAGTGTCCTGCTCCAGCTGTCCATAAGTAGCACAATCTGCAAAATCACAAGAAAGAGAAAGCACCTGACTACAGGGCATGTACTGAACCTTGTGATACAGGAGCAGTCTTCACACCCATCCTTACATTGAGATAAGGAACCAAAGCTCAGCTATGGGTAGTTCTGTGCTCCCTTCACATCATACCAGCAGCATTAACTCCACATGTGCAGGGGAAATGTTCTACTTGGAAATACTTGAGCAGAGGAGATCCCCAGATTTCATCCAACCTACACTTCCCTTGAACCTCTGCCGTTGGGGAATAGCTGGAGCACTCCTCTGTTTTGTCTGTTCTCAGCTGCTGCAATGTGTTTTCTGCTGGAAGGCACCCATACACTACAGAGGTGAATGCAGAATAAGAATCTATGCACATAGGCTTAGCAGAATTCAATTTTTAAATATAATTTCAACATATAATATCGAAGTTTATTTGTAAGTATTTTTTCAGTTTTTATCCATTTAAATATCCAGTTGCACAAAACTATGGTTTGGGAGCATTTTAAAATGTTCTGTCTATTATGGGGGCTGGGGGAGGAGGGGAGGAGTCAGACAATAATTATTTAATGACAGCAGTGATTGATATTCAAAGGGTTAAAACTGTTAAAACAGAAACTGTCAATATCACATGTCAAAAATATTCAGAGTAAATGTCCTTAAATCAATCTCTAAGTTCTCAAGCAGCATTTTTCTTACCTTGCCACTCTATGATCAATGGACATGCTTTTTGTCAGTTTGCATGTCCATGGTAAAGCTAGCGTTTACCAACATTGACCAATAAAAATCAATCTGTCTGAACTTCAATATAGATTAGGAGTTTCTGAAGTTGAGTGTAATTTAGAGTAGCTTTGAGGCTGCTCTAATGCATGCAGGGTGACAGACCAAGTACCTAGGGAGGTGCAACAATGGAGGAAGCTCCTCTGTTCTTGCACCGAGTGCAGTTCAGCTCAAACTATCCCCCACCCCCATGTTCATGCCCCCTGCCTATTCCCGTACCGTGCCATGAGCTCCAAATCCCAGGCTTTGCATCCATCTGCCACTGTACCCATTTCTGTGATTCATCCTGGGGGACACAGCCCTTAGCCTCATTCTCTTCTAGCTTGCACCAGTATTTTCATGGTCTATAATGGAACAATTCCTGATTTACATCAGCACACTTGGGAGGGGACAGAATGAGACCTACAGTTATCACACCCTTGCCTGGTTGCATAGTGCATCTTGGCAGTAGACCCCTTTCTCTTTGCTTGTTGAGCTACATAATCAGGATAAGGCAAGCCCACTGAGTGATTTTGAACCCAGCAATGTTCTGCCCTTAAATACTGTGAGCCAGGTAATTCCTTGCCGGAGAGGAGAGGAGACTGAGGGAAAGCCTGAGACAGAGCGATATGCCTCATGCTCGGCAGCATGCGAAGAACATCCCATTTCTTGAGAGCATTGAGCTGCACACATCACAGGGACCCCGTGCTGCAGTTTTGCCTGCAGCAAAGTGACAGAGCCTGCCAGTCCAGAGCCCTTTGTGTACTCTTCTCCCAGGAGCTGAGTGTTGAGAGCGAAGGTGGGGAGAGCAAATGCTGAACAAAGGTAGAGGAAGCAGCTGAGGTTGGGATTCAGACGCTGAAAAGGGAACCTTGTCCCCAAAACATCAAAGACACCTACAGACCATTTGGAAAGAGAAGCTAATGGGTGTTAAAGGGCAATGCTTGCAAGTCATTCTGTCTGCTGCTGTAAGGCCAACAGGCAGAATTGAACCTGGAACTTCTGGAGCTTGGTGTGTGAATTTTGACTACTTGCGCTGAATGCCAGCTGACTGTAGGGCAAACTCACTCTTATCTCTCTCAGTAAGTGGGCTAAGTGCCACTCCGTGGGACAGTGACCCACACCCAATAGGTGTGTGGGTTATGTGTCCTGAACTCCAGAGACCCAGTTGAAACCTGGAAGAGCCCCCACTTGTGATGCGGAGAGGGGGAAACTGAACCTGGAACCTTTGGAGCTTAATGCATAAGTCTGCATGGTCTGAGCTAAAAAGCAGCTGACTCTCAGCTGAGCTTCTGAAGAAGAAATCCATTCTTCTCACTCTCTGAAAGTGGTTTAAGTGCCACTACATGGTCTAAAGTGCCACCAGAAAGTGTGTGTGGGTTGCACTGCACATCTTGGGTTAGTGCCCGTCACCCCATTAACAATAGAATCAACTCTGTTTAAACCCAGATAGGGTTGGTCAGTTGGTCCAGGATGGGTGTGCGTGTGTGTAGGGGAGAGATAAAAAGTCATCCTACAGTGTACTCCTGGCTTATTAGCAGCAGCTACAGTCATGTTTCCTGCACTCCTGTAAGCAAGGAGAAGGCTTTGGGGGCCTAGTGTGGCCATGTCTGTGGAGAGGGGAGTGCATGCTAGGAGAAGGTGCAGAGGGTGTTCCCCAACCACACGGAACTGTTTGGAGAATTATTCTGCCTCCTGGAGCAATAACAATTTGGCCCCCCATCACATTATGTCCTAATCATGATGTAATACCACTCCAAAAGCCCACTGAAGTCAAAGCAAATCTTTCCACTGAATCCCAGGGTTCTGGCTCAGGCCTGCAGACTGGACATTGCCTGTGTCAATGGTTGTGGGAAGACAGGGGTGGGAAGGCATGGAGAGCTGACAGCAACATGGGGCTTGTGATGTTTAGCACCTCCGCTTCCCCGCCCATCTCTGGATTGCCCAGCGAGTAGCTGGATTCTGTGTGTATCAGAAGCTGGTTGGTGCCCCTACCAGCATCCAGCAGAGAAGCTGCAACTGCACTGCTGGCTTGGTGCTACTTGTCATGGAGTGACACCGCTGTGGCATAGGAGTAATGCAGCAGTGAATTGGGCCCTGTCCAGGCTGTGTTTCTAGCCTGCATTCACAGCCTCTCAATTTCCCAAGCACTATACATGTCCCTAATTCAACTCTTCTTTTCCCTCTTCCTTTGCAATGCTGCCCCAGAGCTGTTGCTGCTGAAGAGAGTAGACACTCACAGTGATTTATGGGTGATATTTTTAGGGATGGTTCATTTGCAATGACTGGAGCTAAACAAGTGAATGAGTTAAGCTTCTGGCCTCCTAGGGCTCTGAGAAACTCATTTTGCTTCCTGTTTCCTTTTGGAGCATGCTTTTTTTGCCTGTGTATTCATTCCTTGCACCTACATGGGTGCTTTGCTGATGGATTCCGTCTCCCAACCTCTGACTTGCATTTCTAGGCCAGCTGAACTAACTCATGTGGAAGAGGTGAAAAATAATGTTTAGCCAGAGGCTTGGGTTTGGAGAGAGAGGGAAAAGCTAGTGACGCAGACATTGGGAGTATCTTAACAAGCTGAATTCTTCTTCTCTTTCTTTTCCCCAGCAAAATACATTGGCTGCTATGTGGACAACACTCGCCGACGGGCGCTGCGTGGCGTGTCCTTCTTTGACTACAAAAAGATGACAGTGTTCCGTTGCCAGGACAACTGTGCCGAACGGTAGGGTGGTAAATGAACACAGAGTCTTCATTAATTTCAACCCATCAGCCGTGTTTCCACTCTTGTCCGCTCAAGCACTCCAGTTTCTTGGCCATTTTTCTTCTGTCCCCCCCACCCTCCTGCTTCCCCACTCCTCCCAGGGATATGTTAAAAGATTCTATTTTTTTCCCCAGGGAAAAAGCTGGGGCATTTGACGTTTCTCATTTGGGATGATAATTAGGTCCTGATTAGAGGGGAACCTGCTGAAGATCCTTTGCTGAACATCACCCCAACAGCAGGCCAAATTCATTGCTGGGAGATTGGAATGGTTCCCTGCATGCCATCCATTTACACCAGCAGGGAATATGGCCCATGGTGGAGCCTGGAATAAATGGATAAATATTGCTGCTGAGTTCACCAAACCAGAGCTCATTGTTAAGATGCCCCAAACTATCGTGGTTTTATGCTTATTTCCTTTGGATGAAATTTACACAGTGCAGCAGGGACTTTAATTCCACGTCCTCAATCCAGAGGATAGCATTGCAGTGCCCTTTACACAGCACTATAGCAAGAGAACCCAATGGCACACCAAGGCTACGTCTACACTGGCACCCTTTTCCGGAAATGCTTAAAACAGAACAGTTTTCCGTTATAAGTATTTCCGGAAAAAGAGCATCTACATTGGCAGGATGCTTTTCTGGAAAAGCCCTTTTTCCGGAAAAGCGTCATTTTCGCGATCGGGGCTTTTTTCCGGAAAAGACTACTGTGCTGTCTACACTGGCCCTTTTCCGGAACAGTTTTCCGGAAAAAGGACTTTTGCCCGAGTGGGAGCAGCATAGTTTTTCCGGAAAAACACTGACAATTTTACAGTAGATCGTCAGTGCTTTTCCGGAAATTCAAGGGGCCAATGTAGACAGCTTGCAGCTTATTCCGGAAAAGCGGCTGATTTTCCGGAATAAGTGGCCCAGTGTAGACACAGCCCAATTGTCATGCAACAACTGCACCAGGGGCGAAGCTGCAACTCACCATCATGAAATAAAAAGGGACGCAGGCTAGTTACATGGTTTTGTGTGAGAAAGCTGACATCTTTCCAAGCCGCCTGGTGTTGCCTTTTAATAGAGATAATGGTCGCGCACCCCACATCCCTTTCTGCTTTGAGGAAATGGTAGGGAAAATACGGTGATCTCCAGAAGAATGAAAGGCTGAGAACTGGTATTATATGTTGCCTGGAAAAACCCTTCTGCCCCATGCAGCATCCCAGACATATAATGTACTTCTGTTGCTGCCAGGGCTGAAAATAACTTAAATGTCTTACTGGTACAGTGGTATTTCAACCCCACTTGGGGGCTCAGGAGAGGAAGTGGGGGGGGGGGAATACGGTGATCTCCAGAAGAATGAAAGGCTGAGAACTGGTATTATATGTTGCCTGGAAAAACCCTTCTGCCCCATGCAGCATCCCAGACATATAATGTACTTCTGTTGCTGCCAGGGCTGAAAATAACTTAAATGTCTTACTGGTACAGTGGTATTTCAACCCCACTTGGGGGCTCAGGAGAGGAAGTGGGGGGGGGGGGTGAAGCCCCCCCACTGAGACCCGTATCAGGAGCCTGCTTGTTCTTCCCCTTCCCATCACTGAATGGGAGTGAGAGCAAAGTGCACAGCTCGCCGGCCCCCTGCACTCCCCAGCCAGAGGGAGGACTGCAGCAAACTGTGCACTTTCCCCTCGCTCCCTGATGAGAAGGGATCAGCCAGCAGCTTCCTGGTACTGAATCTCGGGGTGGGGGACACTTCAACCTTCCTAATGGTGCCCTGAAGGAGGGTGACGTGGGACTGGGGCAGCCCCATATGTCAGCTGCCTGGGAGCCTGCTGCTTAGTGTGGCAGTCTGCAGGAGGGCCCTGGGAACTGCCTCCCCAGCTGGCCAGCTCCTTCTTACCAGCGTAGCACACTGGGACCACTGCCTGACTTTCACCACTGGTTGCCTCAATTACCGCAGTATCTGCACATCTCACAAACGTATTTATCCTCCCAGGTGAGATAAGGATGTGCCACTTGCTCCATTTCACAGATGGCAATTTAGGCCTGGATATTTTAAGGGGCAGATTTTTAAAGGAATTTAGGAAGCACCTAAGGATGCAGAGAGGAAGACACTAACTCTCATGGAAATCAGATTTTCCAGGGTCCCAGCCCTTTAAATTACTTTTGAAGCACCATGTTGCATGCTCCGTGAGGCTCTGAGAGCTGGGAAGGAGGGTGCACTGTGCTCTGAACCGTGTTGAGGGATGACTGCTCCGGCCCTGCCCCTTCCACCTGAAGCCCTGCCTGTTCTGAGAGCACAGAGCCATCCCTCCTCCCACCTTGCCTAGGGGCCTGTGCAGGCTGGCAGCTCTGCCGGATGTCTCGGTTCCTGTCTGAACATAAAGTTGGGAGGATGAATTTACACTGAGTGACAAAGGGAATTTGGAAACAATTTGCTGCTTCTCCACATTCCAGATCCCCGGTATGTCAGCGCTCTACCCAGCAGCTCCTTCTGCCAAGCCTTTGACATGCACTGGACAGAGTCTGTGTATTGCTAGATCATCCCTCCTCTTAGAGATATTATCGCTACTATGTCTTCCGGGAAGTCGAGCAGCCAAAGCGCAGCACCTGGGGCCTGCTGTGACATCCTTAAGCTTTTCCATTAGCACGGCCATTCATACAGGCAATGGAATCCTCCTCACTGATCCTTGCTGGCTCCTGCCTACAATCTTTCCTTGCAAAGGTCGCAGGAGCAGGGCGGGAGGCAGGATAGGAACGGGATTATCACTCCTTGATCCAAACTAGACCGGAGCGGCAGGGATAAAGCCATGGACCTGTACCTCCTATTGGGTTTGCAGTTGAAAATGCTAAGATTTACACCCGGGGAGCCACTAGACAATTGAAAAGATCCCTGCAACATGGGTATGTGCACAGGTATTTGCAGACGACAAATACAACTGCAAGTTCCTGTGCATGCAATTTTGTACATGCGCAGCTACCGGCTGAGTGCTCAGAACCCAGTGGGACTGGACACATGAAAGCCTGTCTCTTGATTGAGTAGCCACTAGGGATGTAAAATCCTGTTTAAAACGTTAACCGGTTAAACTATATGTTTAACCAATTAACCAACACGAGGCATGACACTGTGGGTTTGGCTGGCCAGGCGCCAGTCAACTGGGTAACCAGTTAACAATTCACATCCCTAGTTGCCACACAATACACCCCAAGATTATTTTGATTGTAAGCTCTCTGATGTGGATGTCTTCTCTCCTCTCAGATGTTTACAGCATTTTGCTCACCATTGCTATTCAATAACTACTAGTAATACAATTATCAGAGAGTTTGCCCTGTGGGTTTCTCTTCCTCCACAGACTTAATACATGAGTGATATCTTCCTGGAGAACCCAGGTCACCACTCTTGCTAATCAATTTTTTTGTAGAAAGCTCTGTCCCTTGGATCTCCAAATGCAAGGTGTTGGGGGTTCATCTCCACTTTCACTTTTCAAGCCCACATCTGGTTCAGGCAATGTTGCAATCTTCTCTTTTCAAATCCAATCTGCATCAAGGAGTGACGCTTTCCAACTCGGAAGCCCTGTAAAGTCTCCACCACATTTTATTTCACCTGAAACACACATAATGTCCTTTTTGCCTGTAAGTAATGTTGCTTGTCTGTTGCTTTATGATCTATAACACGCACTAAGCACTTTTTCTTTTAAAATGATGCTACTTCCAGCTTGTATCTAATAAATCATCAGCGATGGACACACACATACAAAAAATCAAAAACATTCTTGCTGAGAGAACGTTGGCAGTAACGTGACTGCTAGGGTAACAGGAATCTTCCAGTGGCTGGCAGCAAGCTGGTCTCCCATTGTGCCCAGTACTTGGGAGCAATTTAGATTGACTCTTGAGTTGCTGAATTGTTATAGAGAATTCTAAATACAGCAGAATCCAGGTAATGCCATAAGCTGGGACCAGACCCCGGGGATGGATCACTTGATTATTGTCCTGATGTGTCCATTCCCTCAGAACAGTGGTAGGCAACCTGCAGCCTGTGGGCCTTCTGCAGGTGACCCACAAGGCTTTTTGTTTACTGTTAGCAGGGTTGCCAGATTCCAAATTGTTATAGAGAATTCTAAATACAGCAGAATCCAGGTAATGCCATAAGCTGGGACCAGACCCCGGGGATGGATCACTTGATTATTGTCCTGATGTGTCCATTCCCTCAGAACAGTGGTAGGCAACCTGCAGCCTGTGGGCCTTCTGCAGGTGACCCACAAGGCTTTTTGTTTACTGTTAGCAGGGTTGCCAGATTCCACTGGTTTCCGTCCACTTAGATTTTTTTCCCTAAAGTCACACACACGTAAAACAAGGGCACGTGAAGTGAGGTGCAGGCTGACTGCACACAGCACTGACCGTGTGCTCCACTCTGCATCCAATTACAAGTTCTGTCGTCCACTCCCAAAGTCTAGGTGCACAAGCTCAGTGAGCAAAAGTACCCTATCTGAAAAGACAGTCTTGGTTGCAACAGTCTTGTGGCCCCGTGAGATGAAGGAGGGCCACTCATGTGACCAACTCACTGGCCTAGGTTGCCCATGACTGCCTCAGAATCACCTGTCATTGGCCATTGGCTACGGGTCTCATTGGAACATTTGTCTGATCTAATGTGGCCTTTCTTATATTCTTAGTTCGTTAGCCTGGATAGTGGCTTAACTGACACAACAGTCAACCAATGGATTCCAGGCTGGTCTAATTCTGATTCAATGAGCTTAATTCTGATCTCACACCCACCTTATACTGGTGTGACTCTGTTTCTTTGAAGGAATTACGCCTGATTTGCTTTGCGGCACTGAGATCAGAACCATGCCAGGTGTCTCTGAATATTGGATAAGTAGTGCTCTGGTCAGTTTAAATGGGTCACCTGGTACAATCTGGATGCCTGAGTTAACAGATGTGATTTGGGGCATCCTGGTACGGATTACCGATGCATTCTTCTCAGCACCAGTTGCTCAATTTTGAGGGCCTGACCCACAAGTTCCAACCCATTGGAATCATAGAGGTTCAGACCAGGCTTTAGCAAAGTCAAACTGACCTTAATAGAGGTTTTCCAAATATGGAGCTGGTTTTGCATCGCTTATTTTGAGTGTAGCTCCTCTTGATTGGAAAAGCTTAGACCTGCCATGGCAGTAGGCTCCCCTGTGCCACCGAGAATGGGATGTGCCTCTGCTTAGCCCATTTCTCTTCCCGCCATGGTCTGTGCCAGGGAAGAGGACTAAAATGGCTGTGTCTGCACTGGCACCCTTTCCCGGAAAAGGGATGCTAATGAGACCAGTCGGAATTGCAAATGCCGCGGGGGATTTAAATATCCCTCGCGGCATTTGCATGAACATGCCTGCCGCTTTTTTCCGGCTCGGGGTTTTGCCGGAAAAAGGCGCCAGTCTAGACAGGATCTTGCGGAAAATAAACCCTTTTCCGGAAGATCCCTTATTCCTACTTGAAAGAACAAGTCACTTGAAAGTAGGAATAAGGGATCTTCCGGAAAAGGGTTTATTTTCTGCAAGATCCTGTCTAGACTGGCGCTTTTCTCCGGCAAAACCCCGAGCCGGAAAAAAGCGGCAGGCATGTTCATGCAAATGCCGCGAGGGATATTTAAATCCCCCGCGGCATTTGCAATTCCGACTGGTCTCATTAGCATCACTTTTCCGGAAAAGGGTGCCAATGTAGACACAGCCAAATGGGAACAGCCCCCAGGAAGAGAAGAAAATCCACCAGCTCCTGGGCAAAATTCTCCTTGCAGCCTCACATGCCAGCCCTCCTGTCAGATTCTGCTCTCCATGAACAAACAGGGTTGCTGTGGAGAGCAGTGGGAAATTTCCACGTGCAGGGCCAAATCTTGAAACCTGCTACTATGAGTGGGAGAGGTCATTACTGCTCAGGATTCAGCTGTTAGCAAGAGCAGGGGATCAGAGTTGCACCCAGAGGCTTTGTCTATACTATAAATTTGCTGAAAGAGGCAATGCAAATTAATCGTGGATTAGCATTTTCTAATGCTTCATTTGCATAATCTCTTTCTGCCCATTTTTGTGCAAGGGGTTTTTGCACAAAAACAAGCAATTGTAGACGTGTCTGTTTTGCGCAAAATACCCTTTTTGCACAAGATCCTTATGCCTCTCTGGGACAGGCGTAAGGATCTTGTGCGAAAAGAGGTTTTTGCACAAAACGGCCACAGCCACACTGCTTGTTTTTGCTCAAAAACCCCTTGCGCAAAAATGGACTGAAAGAGATTATGCGAATGAAGCATGAAAAAATGCTAATCCGCATTTCATTTGAATTGCCTCTTTTGGCAAAACTCATAATGTAGCTGTAGCCACAGTGTGGAGTTGAGAGAAGAATGTTTCCCATAGTTTATGCAGAAGGGACTTTTCCCACCATGTCTGTCTCACACGACAGGCTCTGAGTATGCTCAGCCCTTTCCAGATTAAACACGTCCCATACTGAGCAGCACTGGTAGGTCCAGCGCCTTGAATTGCTCACCAACCACTCATCTCTTTTAAACAGTCCCCTCTTGCAGTGCAAGAACTCAGGTGATGAAAACTAACCTAGCTCTAGAGGTTGAACCTCTCTAGGGCGGCACCCTCGGTAACTGACCGGTGCCAAACCAGAGAATATGTCGGGAGGGAGGTCAATATTGTGTAGCAGCATTACCAATACTTCCACTGCTCACGGGGTGTGTAGGAGACATTTAGGGGTAAACTAGAGCTAGAGAACAGCACAGAACAGAGAGCCAGGACTGGTGGTTGTAAACAAATTTTATGAGACTGTGGGAAACTTGGCCACACCCATGACAAGTGGACATCTAGCTACATAAAACCATGCTGGATAATGGATGTGGCTGGACCAGAGTGCTGGACTAGAGAGGTTCAACTTGTACTGACTTCCATGGAGCAAGGCAGGTGTACTTTTCCTCCTGTGCCTGTTGTTTCACTGTGCAAGAGAGGTTGCTCTGACTGTGGTTTTTACCTCCAGGGGCTATTTGTATGCCGGGTTGGAGTTCGGTGCAGAATGTTACTGTGGACACAAAATCCAGGCCTTAAATGTGAGTGAGTCCGAATGTAACATGGAGTGCAAGGGAGAGAAGAGCAACATCTGTGGAGGTGTGAACCGTCTCTCCATTTACCGGTTGGAGCTGGCCCAGGAGTCTGCAAGGAGATGTAAGTAATAACCACGCTTCTGTTGGAAATTGAAGCAGTTCATGTACATGAATTGGAAGGTGTAACATGGAAACAGGGAAAGGGCTTGGCTGGAAGCATTTGCATTTCTCAGAGCTATGTCCGCCCTCTCCCCCCACCCCGCCCTTTGGGGTGGAATGCACATAATGAATGGCCCTTTGCACTAGGCTGCATTTCGTCCTGGGTGACCCTGTCAGCTGGAACGCTGCGCTCTCCTGGTCTCATGCTGACGCCTGTAGCCCAAAGTGAGCAGGCTGGGCATCCAATGCACCTCACTGTTTTGGGAGCTTGGCTTGGGTTCTGATGCCTCCCTGCAATGTTCAGAGGCACCGGACCTCCCGAACAGTGAAGGGCTCAGCTCTCCAGCAAGAGCTTCAGCACCTCTTGCGCGGAGGATTTAAGTGACGAGAGGGCAGCTCTTGAGGGGCAGACCAGGCCCAGGGGGGGCCGGGCTGCTTTCTTAACTGGGATTGTTTTCTGAGAAATTCATGATGTGAGGGTGAGTGGGGCCAACAGCCACCATGGGCCCCCAGCTCTGTGTCCCTGGAAGGGGTGGTGCCTTGGGTGGAAGGGGTGGTGCCAGTGCCAGCCTGCCCTCAGTGCCATCTGTAGCACAGCATGCTCCCCCTTCTGGCCCCCAGAGCTGCACAGCACATACAGCGGGGCTTTGTGGTGGCTATTTAAAGGTCCTGGGACTCTGGGCACTGCTGCTGACTTTGAATGGCTGGGGGCCAGGACAACTGCCCCCTTTGTCCTCACTCCCGTCTGAGGGCCTGTTGTGGGAAGGCTTGTGGCAGGAAGTGG